GTACAACAAATGGCTAAAATTATCATGATTATTCTAATTCAGGAGTTACGATAATTAAAGCCCTAATAAAAAAAATTGAGAAAAGCCAAATCAGCGAGCATGCCTTGGTTTCTTAACGTATTTTAATAAATAGAAACATGAATGAATTAAATAACTTCTTTTTTATCCATTTATTTTTTGTCTTTTAACCACATCTATAACAATTTATTTGAAATTTAAATGCTTATAACATGTTGATACCAATAGTTTAATATTACAAATTAGTATAAGAATCTATATCAGATAATTATATTTTGTCATTTTTAATAGAGGTCTGTATGAATAGAATTTGATTATATCTTAACATCAATAATCGTAACTATATGTTCTTATAACTAATGGCGGATGAAAAATCGGCCTCAATGAGGATATAACTTATGCTTAAACACCTAAAACCATCAATAATTATAACAAATAATATTTGAATAATAAGGTTGTAGTATTAAAATTTATTCGATTTTAGTCATTATACTATGAGTATATGTATATGCATAGAAATAGTTACTTAAATTAACATATTTTAAAGTTTTTATTACATTAAAGGAGTTATCTCCTTTTGAAACTAATAACGTTTTGAAATTCAACTTTATTAATTCGATTAATTTATTTTAAATTATATTATTATCGATTTTTCATTTATAACATGACATGAATCAAAAATGAATGAAATTATACATTTTACACAAGTTTATGGCTAAGTGGGTGGCAGGATTTAATAATTTATGCAAACTTTTTGTGATTATCAATATAAGATTACTGTTAATAACACGCCACATAACACTATAGTTACTGAACAGCGTATGTATTTTGTTACCATTGATTTTATTCAAACATAACACGTTAATATGCAAGCATAACCTATTATTTTACACTATTGATTGTCATAGTAAAGTGTTCGTCAAAGGGGTTTTTTCGGGGGTTCACTACCCTCCTCCCCAATAGCCCCACTTTGTTGTATAGTATTTGTAAAATTATAGTTATAAATAAATTATAGTTAGGATGAATGCATAAACTCCCCTCCTTTGTGGTATCCTAGGAACGCCGCGGGTCATCATGTGCATTAATCCAATACGTGCGTACGAAGTAACAAAAACAGTTCCAATTATATGGTTCAACATCAATAGTTGAGTGGATATTTATGGACGTCAAACAAATGAATACACACTTTGTGTTTTACAAAACGTGTAATTCTCGGTTACACACCTTTTATGTGTATGTATTTTATTACACAAAATGTTATCATAGATTTGTGGATATATTACATTTAATAAATCTTCCCCGCCCCTTAAAAACGTAGGGATCCGAGAAAACTACAAACTACACTATAGGAAATGAGATAAGTTCTAAAGATTGTAAATTAATTGAAATATAGATTCTCACAAATGAAATTTGCAAATTCACAAACATTCAATCTTTACACTCAAATTGTCTACCATATGATACGCGTTTGAATGTTGTCATCACTATTTGTTGGTAGGACCATAATTTTGTATTTTTGTATTAGATTTTGGAAATTTATTCATTTTTATATGCATGTAATATATTTTCAAGACAATTTAAGGTTGTTTGCCTTTTTCTATTTTATCTCAAAAATATAAATAAATAAACACCTTTAAACTGGTATTAGTTTATTTATTCTATATGAGTTAATAAAAATAAAAAACCACCATAAATGTTGGCCTTAAGTAACAGAAAGATGAATATTCATATGATCTACTATTGTAATATTTTTATTTTACCTGGTTAGAATGTATAATGAACTTAAAAAGTATTTTTTTTCTTTGATTTAAAACTTATTCTTAATGTTTCTTAATTTCATGGAAACCAAATATTTTGAAACTAGCGGCAGAGTACATAGCAGTTATTCCATTACCGTCGCGGCGCGCTCTTTCTTTTTTTAAGCTTGGCTTGCATGTCGACTGACCTGCTTGATTAAGGTAATATAATTTATTAAATATGAATACTATACAGCTAGATAGTGTATAATACAGTGTACCTACTATGTATTTACTAAATTATTTTTCTTTAATAAATAAAAATATAATTATGTTATTGATTCATTTGATAAAAAAAATTTCTTATTTAATATGGGTACATTTTTTTAATAAAAGTTTTCTCCAAATTGCACTCGTATGATTATAAAATATTAAATATTTTAACTCTAGTTTTATTTATAAGTTATAATGACTCAAAACTATGTATTGATAACAATCTTAAAGTATTTTTGTTATTGGATTAGCTTCTTAGTAATGACTCTACAATTATAAATATTAATTCAATAATTTAACATCATATTTTAGTATCAATAAGGGTATATTATGAAGAAAAAATATAATTATTCAAATACATAGTAAAATACTTTTTCCTGCGATTATTAGTATTTTAATGTTACTATTTTGATAATTTTTTACTAGAATTTTCTTCAAAACTGCATGGATGCGTTTATAGAAAATTTATATAATATTTATTTTATTAAAATTTAGAAGCAAAAATGTCATCTCTTAGATTTTTTAGAAATTTTATTGTAAAGTTTCTTCAAATATACATGTAAAAATGTAAATACGCAGATAAAATTTTACAACAACTATAATTAAATAATCCAAATTAGAATTTAGAGTGTATGGAAAATAGAACAAATGCTCAGAGACCGAAGAAAAAAGTGTCAAGAGATAAATATATATATATATAACCCTCGTCTCTCCCCATAAACACGGCACTGACTGTAATTCTTTTTGTGGTTCGCTATTTCTCCAACTGTTTCTTGTCACACTAGCTTTTATGTTTTATTAGGTATAGAGTATGTCAATGATTGTGGAAATCAAGAATTTTCTGAAGTAAGATTTTTATTTCAAACAAAATAACCGACATTTTGATGTACCTGAAATCAATAACAACATTTTTTTTTTCAAGTGTTTTTATGATTTCTTGTTTAAACTTCTATCTCAGAATAAACATTTTTACTTTCATTTTTATGAGATAATTTATAATTTGCTTTTTAAAAACAAAGAAGTTAATTAATAAATAGTGATTTTTATATTAATGACACGATTTAAGGAGAGAAAAATAATAATCTATAATTTATACTTTTTCTTTTGTATACTTATTGTACACATTATTCTTAAAGTTTGAAGCTTTTTAATTTTTTTTTTTTATAATATTAACAGGCGATGTATTATTAAAATTACTAAAACATTGATAAATATAAAGTGTACGTATGTAATATTTTATATTTAGTAAAATGTAGATGTCAGATTTCTTAACATCTTGTCGGTTGTTTAATTAATTTCATAAGTAACATCGATAAACAGCGGGAATTCAGATTTTCGTCGATTGATATTAAATGCGCTATTTGTTAATATTCTTAAAAACTATTGAATAAAAATTATAATGTCTAGTATTTTAGATTACGAAGCAAGTTGAACTGTTCTAAATACTTTTTGAAAAGCATAAAGTTATATTAGTGAAGTGTAAAATTTAGTGATTGTTATTATTGAGCTGTTTAAACTATTGAATAAATAACTGGAGCAAACGCAATTTGATTGTTTTGAGATTGGTAGTCCCGTGCAGTGAATCGGACGGTTGACGTCATACTACGATTATAATTTTCTCATATGTCATCAAATAATCGTTTTATTTTTAAACATTTGAAACGGTATTTTTATAAATACGACTAGAATAATATAATAATAACACACAAAAAAAAGCATGACATGTTTTTTGGTATATAACACATTTTCAAATATAAACAAAACGTATAGTTTAATATACTAATAATTCGTTATGTGTTTTGTCTTATTATATTTGAAGATTTTAGTATTATCCAACTCTTTATCTAAATCGAATGAAAATAAACTTATAATTGTAACGTATTAAACTAATGTAATTTTTCGTATTATCTGCTGAAGATAAAATGGTAAAATTAAAAAAAATATATCTGTAAAACCGTTAACATTTTTAACGATTAAGTAAAAATAACCAATAGGTATATAAATTCACTTAAATACGACGTCTAAACTCTCAGAGCTATGTTTTATCCATCAATGTAAAAATCAAACAGATATGCAATCACTAATAATATTAGTGTTATAACCTACTTAATATAGTATTATTGTTTAAAATTTAAGTAAATTATAACTGTAAATTATATTTTAATTTCAAATAAATTTAAATACTTGATTTTTCACGAGAGTCTACTAATTTGTATATATTTCGCTAAGCTTATAAAAATTTTTTTTAACTATATTATCATTTAAAAAAATAACTATGTGATAGAAAATGTTTGTGTGCTTTTTGATGTTTGTTTTTTTGAAATCATTGACTATTCAATCTCCATACTTAATTAACTAAATATTTTTTAATAGGAATAATATAATATTTACAGAAACAATGTTTTTCGGGTAAGAATTTACACAGAAATAAATGCAGTAATGATAAATTGTTACTAAACACGAGCGACAGAAAATGTTATCATTTTTTTATAAATTTAAAAAATTTATTAAAAATCAAGCAAATAAGTTGGATCATAAAAAAATTCAAAGATATAAACTTTACACAGTGTATAAAAACAAAATTACTATCAAAAATTTTGTACATTTATATTGAAACATTAACGTATATTATTATTTAATCAATAAACACCGTTTCTAGTCCTAACCCAACCCAAAAAAGAAAGAAAAAAACCTTAATATGATAATTTCTGTTTCTAAAGGCAATTAGCGAACCCTCCTGTATACTAGCGTTTACGTAACGTCTATACCTAATGTTTTCGGTAAGCAAAACATCAGAGTAAATAATTACTGCCAGATTAAGCAGGGGAAAAAATACACTCCCTTTTCGGGTGGTTTTACTGTTAATCCGGATATGATCGCGGTACGTTAAAATACAACGTGGTCGGAAAGCGACAATTGTTAGGCGTCTTCGCTAGTTCGAGAGAAAAAATGAAAATAATAAAAAAATATTACCTTGTAGCCGATGTACGTGAGCAGTAACGATTCGCTGAGGGCGAAAAGTGCTAGACCACACTGGATTATCCACAGCTCGAATGGCCGTTTCACCCATTGGATTGCATCCCAATTGATGATCGGCCTTGCTTGGAACGCCTCGTCCGTCAGATTTCGGCTCCACAGAAATTCGGTTTTGTTGCCCACCATGCACCCGTAGCTGGGAGCAAAAAGGGTTGGAAAACGCGTTAAAACGGGTATGCGCCTCTGGGTCGTGTGGTTTGCAACGGGAGTAAGCGGTTGTTCATGGGGTGGCGGATGGGGGGGGGGTCATGTGATGTAGACAGTACCGATACAATGTGGACCTTGACGGTCTAGTGCTCTTACCATGTTGCCGACGTGGGTTCCTGATCGAGTACGACGCGGACGATGTACAAAACGCATGTTAGTAGTTTGAAAAATAGATTTGCGATACGAATACGAAGACCTGTGTGGAGCGAGAAAAAAAATTAATAAATAAAAAAATAACAAAAACTATTACGACAGTAAACATTTGAATTATGACACTAATCTAACCTAACCTTTTATTGTTGATTATTTCTTGTGCATCGACAAAAATCACAAAAACCACAGGAGCAGGAGTAATGACCAAACTTAACCATCTTTTATTTTTTATTTTATTCTTGTAGACTTCACGCATCGTCGTCTGTAGGTGGTACCAAACTTGCTCCCCCCCTTCCTAATCATTAATAGTGATACAATTTTGTGTGTAAGTGGGTAGTAATTTATGGTTACAAAAAAAAAAAAAAATGAGCTCCACCCAACTGCCACATAATCCAACATAACACGAACGATGTGTTTTATGAATTATATCAGTTATGACGGTCCGTTCACACGATTCGATATTTTTACCGTGTCTAATATTTTCCCTAATTTGGTTTCATTGGGTTGCACTATTCGGAATCATGTGAACAGGCTATAAATAATATGTGTGTTTAAATATCATTGTTTTGTACAGCGGGCACGTTATATTTGATAATTTTAGATACCTTATGTTTGTTAATGATAATATGTATTCAAATCTCGAGCGCTAATTAATCAATCCTTTTTACCTTATTATAACGCCGCAGTAACTTGTAATAAGGGGAGAGGTTCATGTTTTCGAAGATCATATTTTCGAATAGATATGTGTTCGAAAGTCGTATGAATGAAATAATATATTAAAGATCATTGTTTTATTTTTAAACGTACATTTTTATTACGTACCCGATTTATATCGTTTACTAAAAGTAATGAAGATAATATAGTACATATAATAGTTATTAGATAGCATGATATTGCTATTATAGCTTATTAGTAATGACTTTTATAACTACAGTCAGTGGCGTGCCCAGCAGGTAGGCCTGGTAGGCTCAGGCCTACCCTGTTTTCAAATAATAATTATTAATATTTTTCAAGAAACATAATTTTATACATTTTTTTGCTTCATAATACAATATGTAATTGAATCATTTTGGAACAAAGATTATTTATTTATTACCCACTTATAGCAAGCGTTTATATGTTATTAATAATTCTTTCCTTCGTCGCAAACAATTGTAGCCACAGTACTGCTTATCGGCTAAAAATAGTAAATAATAGACAATAATACACCCGAAGTGAGTTGTTTATACATTCGTCACTGGCCGTTCATTGCCGACAATCGTCATTTGATATAAGATAATGAATATGGTATACAAAATATGTTATTTTTTGGTATTAATAATTTATTAGTTTATTACAGTGTGTACTGTGTACTGTGTAGACGTATTTTAGTGACTTGTGTGTAACCGAGCCGATCGAGGAAATCGTTTTATTCGTTTTGTCTGTTTTTGTTTATGTACACTATTAGAACAACCCAAGTACTTTTTTATTTTATATTGATTATAACTTGACTAATAATTAAATAAAAATAAAAATATGATTAGCCAGTTTTTTAAACCTATTCCGAAACCCACAAGGACATTGAACGATGATGATAGTACAATAGATCAATCACAAACAAAAATGTTAAAATTAAATGTTACCTCAACTTTTAACGAGTCTTCTATTTCCTCTTCTAGCTTAAATGTGCTTAATATTAGCTTAAATAGTGATGAACAATCTATTCAGCCAATTATCAATTTTCCACGTCGTAAAATTTGTGAAAAACAACGTAGTTTTCAAAGTTCATGGTACAAAGTTTATCCTTGGATTGAATATTCTGTTCAATTGGATGAAATTTTCTGTTTTTTTTGTCGTCATTTTACTAGTTCTATATCTTGTGAAAAGCATCAAGATGTTTTAATAGCCACAGGATATAATAATTGGAAAAATATTTCGGGGATGGAAAAAAAACATAACTCGGCAGATTCGCATAAAACATCGTTAGCCAAATATCAAGATTATATATCATCAAAAAGTATAGGAGCTGTTACGACTCAAATGAATATTCATGTCGAAGAGAATACAAATAAAAATCGAGAAGTATTAAAAAGTGTAATTCGTTCAGTTTTGTATTGCGCACGACAGGATATAGGTTTACGTGGTCACAATAATGTAATCGAATATTCAAATGAAGACGAACACGACTTAGAAACTACAAAAAATCAAGGTAATTTTAAAGAACTATTAGATTTACTATGTTTGGAAAATGAAAAGTTTAATATAAATTTAAAGTCCCTACCTAAAAATGCTACATATACTTCAAATAAAATCCAAAATGATATTTTATTTGCGTCTTCAAATGTTATTTTACGAACTATTATTAGAGAAATGAATGAAGGTAGTTCGGTTTATAGTTTAATTGTTGATGAAGCTCGTGATGCGTCAAAATTTGAACAAATGTCAATATGTATCAGATATGTACATAAATTAACTATAAAAGAAAGGTTCTTAGGATTTGTACAAGTAGAAGAATTAGATGCACTAGGCTTAATTAATTCTATTATCGAATTTTTAAATTCAGTTGGTTTAGATATTACAAAATGTATAAGTCAATCCTACGACGGTGCATCAGTAATGTCTGGTTCTACCAATGGCGTACAAGTAAAAATTAGAGAACTTTCTAAAAACAAATGCCCTTAAATACATTGCTATGCACATCGGCTTAATTTAGTTTTGGTCGATGTTGCTAAATCAGTTGAGATTGTTGACAATACGATTGGATTGCTTGAAGCAATTTATGCATTTCAATCGAGTTCAACTTTACGTTATAAAATATTTTCTGATGTCCAAAAAGATTGTGAAACAATTTTAAAAGTCCCTCAACATAGTAATACTAAATGGGTTGCAAAATATAAAGGTATTCATTTTTTTTTTAATTCGTTTTGAACATGTCATAAAAGCTTTATCACAACTGTCAAGTAGCTCAAAAAAAAAAAAGAGGCCGTAGAAGCCAAAGGATTATTAAACCAATTTCGATCGCTTGACGTATTATTTGTTTTAACATTTCTTGATAACCTTTTATCGAATATCAACGTACTTTCAATACATTTACAATCTTCTTCTCTTGATATAATTAAGTGTTTAAATTTAATTGATGCTACAATAAAAGAGCTTCAAAGTTTACGTTCGGATGAATTTTTTAATAACTTTTATAAAAAAGCTCAAATTATGGCTTCAAATTTAAATATCTCTATGAATAATTATGAAAAAAGACAGAAAAATATTAATAGTACATTAAGTGATTATGTAATTACTTCAACAATTGGCTTAAAATGTAATAAAACTACGACTCAAAAATTGCGAATTATGTATTTTACAGTTATAGATAATATGTTGAATGAAATGAAAAAAAGATTTAATAACAATTCAGAATTTTTAACTGCTATTTCAGTATTCAATCCGATATCGACAAACATTTTAAATGATGAATTTGTTTTAAAGTGTATATATTATTATGGAGATAATAATTATTTCTCTGACCAAGTAATAAGCCAAAGCAAATTAGCAAAAAATATGTACAGTAGTTGTAAAAATATCATAGATTTTTACAATGAAATATGCATTATGGGGCAGTCATTTGGAGAAATTCAAAAAGTCATAGAACGCGTGTTAGTTATACCTGTAAGTTCAGCATCGGCCGAAAGAACTTATTTACGAACATCTATGTCTACTACACGTCTTCATAATTTAGCGTTAATTTCTATTGAGAGGGAGTTAAGTTTTGAATTAATTTAGGATCCTACAAAGATTGTTAACGAGTTTGCTAAATTAAAAAATCGAAGACTTCAATTCACTAAATATTTATTATATTTTATATTTTTATGTAATTATAATTAAAAAAAACTATTGTTTCATTTGCATTCATTTAGGTATTATTTAGTTATATAAAAACTCAATTTTATTTTTTAATATGTAACTTTAAGTATTATTAACAAGTCAAATAGGAGGAATAAATTGTGTTGTATTATATTATTTTATAATCATTTTTTCTAATTCAATTTAAAAATATTATTAAGTTTCTAAAAAAAAAAATAATGTGTATTATGTACATACATAAACTAAAATAATTATAACCGGGCCTATCCTACATTTTGATCCTGGGCACGCCTCTGTCTACAGTGGTGTTGTACTCGTATAGTGTACAACAAAACGTGATTGTAGTCTGTACTGAAGTTTAGTTTGTTGGGAATTTGTTACTTTTTATGTAATTTGTCTTTTCATTTTAGTAAAATATGTTCAATAAAAGTTGTAGAAATTATTGGGAGTAACCGAATTGGTTCCCATTTAGCCGAATTGGTTCCCGTTTAAAAAAGGCATTTTATTAGGTATAGCTAAATTGGTTCCGGTTTGTGTACAGGTAAAATAAGGACAATTTTAATTTTTAAAATAATTTACTTACAACATTAAAAATTAAAATCTAGCGGGCCAGTGCATAAAGAGCAAAAAACAAAATTTTAAAAACTATATTTATGACATAATAATAGTCACAATTATTATTATTATTATCTATAAGATAGAGTATAGAAATATAGAAGACTATAGATTACTAGATACTAGCAAATTACAAGCAAATAGGAAAGAAATAACAAATACTTGGAAAATTATATGACAGATTACATTAATGAGAAAATTACGAGAGTTGAATATTTAAAGAAAGTTAGCTTCAAATTTGCAAATCAGTGGTTTTAAATTGTATTTATTATATTTTATTATTTGTATTTCGTATACCTAAGTGATGACTAGTTGACTTCCAAATCAACGATTTAAAATTGTATATATTTTATCATTTTTTTTTAATACACATTAACGCACATTATTAATCAAACCTACTTTTAAGTTGACAGTCTTAAGCCTATAAAATTAAGAAGGAAAATGTGCATAATTAAACGGGAATCAATTTGGCTATACCTAATAAAATACTTTTTTCAAACGGGAACCAATTTGGCTATACCTAATAAAATAACTTTTTTAGGCGGGAACCAATTCGGTGCGTGGGTTTGGAGCTCGGGAACCAATTCGGTACCAGCCAAATTATTCACTTGGAAGAAAAAGTATTAAGTGTTAGTTATTTTCTATATACATTAAATAAAAATTATAAAAGAAAACGTGCTGACTAAAACGTTTTTCACTACAAATATTCAACTAAATGTGAAGCAAAAATATGTACAGTTGAAACATTGGAAGGAGAATACAAAATCGACGAGTTTTCTACATTTTCAGAAAATCAATAATCTCACGCAACGGATCCAATTGCTATTGGAATAAAAAAAAAAAATTGAAGAAAATATTAAACAAGTATTAAGCATTTTGATCAAATGTTATAACAGATTGTAATGAATTCATGAACGAATATACGACAATCCTAATTATTGTAAATTGGAGTTTTTAAAAGCGATTGCACATAAATTAAGTTTCTAATTATTTAATTTATAACTGTTTATTTATACATTTTAAAATATCAGATAGTTGTTTAATTTAAATAAACAATATTCCTACATACAACTTTTCGATCACTTATCTATTCGAACAAATAATTTTTTTAATACTCGTCATTCGAAAATATGATCTTCGAAAAAATGACATTCGAAGACATGACCCCACACCCATAATAAGTATAAGGCTATTTTCATACACATCGGTAAAATCGTAACTGAAGTCGGTGCAATGCAATTCAGTTAGTGCTTTCATACGTAACTCCTGACTGGCAAATTCATCGGTTGACGACTCCAGAATACGCAGTTGGCGTTGATTCAATAACTCGAACTTCGATTAGTCGATTTCAATGTTTTCTTTCAAAAAAGTATCCTGATTTCGTATACTAATTTCTAGTCATTCTACCAGAAAATCAAAAGTAGAAGAACTTGTACAAAAATAGTTAACGAATGTCTTCTCTGAGTTTTTCATAAAACGTGTAAAAACTGCCATACTTCAAATGCGATGGATCCAGTATTGTCTGCTAATTTTTTATTTCTATGTTACCTCTTTCGGAAGTACAATAGCCCAAACGTTAATTAAGAGCAGCGCATATTTTTGAGACCAGCAAACAATAAATAAATTATAAAAACGACTTCACTCAAGCGAGTACGAAAACTGTTTAGCACCAGACGTTGGTCCTTAACACTGTTTTCTTATCGTTTACGAATTGAAACTGGCATCGATCTAATCGGTGTGTATGTGAAAACGGCCTAAGTGATGAACGCTCGTGCAGCGTATACGGTACGAAAACGATATTATACTACGTTGGGGAGATAACTGGAGGGTATATGTGGTAGGGAACGTGATGTTGATTTAAATCGAGCCCCTTACATATGGAAGACACCACAAAGTGAATCGGAGATGGTTGTGAATTATGCACACATGGTAAACTTAAAAATGAAAAATTTATCTAGACTTCGAATAAAAAAATATTTCTTTTGATGTTTGAATACACTGGATAGATAGTAAAACATTAAAGAGTTTCGAACTTTATGTATGCAATAAAAATGTAAACTATAATATTAAAAAAAAAAAAAAAGGTAAAGAATTAAAATTTACCGACATTATTAAAAAAACTTAATTGAATTGTCTACAACTGTTTCAACATAGTTTTAGAAGTTTTTATCAAAGTTATTTTTTCAGTGGTTTGCATTTCATTAAAAGAATTTTGAAGTTTCATTAAATCAATAAAGTATATTAAATATTACCTAGACTATACGTAATTGATTCGAACTTTAATTGAATCTAATAAGTCAGACCTTAAAAATATCTGTTTCAACTTCCTTAGTCGAAACGTACGCTTTGATCAAAATTGTGAAAAAAAAATTTACTTAATTTTTAAAGGAATTTTTCATATCGTTTTTACTCTTTCTTGGTTATTTGTTGCAAATGTTGTTAATTACATAATTCAAAAAATGATGTAACACTAGTTTTTACACATTACTAGATTAGTATGAAATACTTTCGTTACATGATTACTTACTTGAGCGTTGATTTTTAATAAAATAAATCTGTAAACGTTCCTTGAATGTATTTTCATTAACATAATATTCCACTCGTACCCTGTAAGCAAAACAAACGATTAAATACATAGTAAATATTTATATAAAAAATAGAGTTAGGTGTATGGATGACTTTCTAAAATAAAAATAAATCACGAAGACATTTTTTTTTCTTGTACACGATAGAGAAGTATTCTGTTTATTAATGACAGTAAGTCGCAATTTGTTTGCTGAACGAGCAACACGTATGTTCTCGCTTTCGAGTGTCGTTCATTCGCGTTGTGTTAGTGTCAGTAACATAATACATCAAAATGCTTACTATGCGCACTGGACATTGGTAAGTGACTAACAATATATTAAGTATAGTAGGCAACAGCGCACCGGTGGTTTTCACCATTGTTTGGAGTGTATAGCAATGGATTTGCCACATTTGCCGATATATGCAGAATTGCAAAATATTTTAATTGAATTTAAACACACCAATGAACAGCTCCACCATGAAGTGGCAGAATTACAGGCAAGTCAAAAATTACTACAAATAAGAAATAATGAACTGATCCTGGCAACCAAAGCGTTAGATTTAAATACAAAAATAAATTAAAACCTAGAACAAACTTCTACTTCTAACACACCGGCTTCAAATAATGTTAACTTAGTTGCAAA